ACTGTAGCACATGTGAGGAATTACCCTACAGAGATGAACAAAGGTTTATCTTATCTTATGTGATGTCAGAACAGTTCATCCATCCAGTGCGGGAGGCCTAAAGCTCCATTTTGTTTTATCACACACAGCTGTTTAACTTTCCAAAAGGCTCAGGTTTCAGCCAAGCTAGCAGCTACTTGGAGACAGTGGTGCTTTGAGCTAAATGGTTACTGTCCATGGTTATAATAAGCATATTTACCATGTTAGCCATCTTAGCTCAGTGTGCAAACACTAGCTATCACTAAACAAAGGGCTAATGCTAAAGGGAATAACTTCATGGATATTCTGGTCTTTGTCTAGGAACATTCTTACTTTGACTTTAGCGGTGTGTCTCTGGCTCAGGTTTATCAAGACAATGTTCATTATTAAAAGCCACACACTGTAGCTACATACACTTCAATATGCCAGTCACTCAAGACAGCCCAAAAAAATCAATGAGTGTTTCCATGGCCGAGATCATTTGTGACAGTTAGAGAAGCAGACTTACAATCAACTAATCATCCATTCACACCCCTCAGGCTTTGGCTACGTTATGCTTTTTGTAGGGTGTGTGTGTGTGTGTTTATGCGAGTGCACATTTGCATGCCAAGTTAGCTCGAAGGTTCTGGAAAACAGAAATAGATCACCAAAGTGGAAGGAACCAGCCAATCAGACTCACTGCAGCCGACCACACGGGGACACACAGGAGTCCCAAACGAGCCAATGAATAAATCAGAAGGCGTAGTCGTTGGGCGGAATTTAGAATAGAGAATAGAAGGGCGCTAATGGGTACGAGCCACACATACACACACATAACGACAACACTTTGCATTCACTTGTTAACCACAATGTGGCGACAAATGGGGATGGAAGGAAGAAAGGGGGTGAGGAGGAGTGAGAAAAGGGTGAGGAGACTCTTTGCATGGCTTCTTCGTTAACCACAGGACTGAAGGGACCTCGCCTCGACTCACACAGGACCCGGTCCCACCAGACTTTACAGACACGCACCCGCCGTCTCGCCCATTAAGGCTGAGGGCGAGGCAGTGCGGTTTGGAGGAAACATTGGAAAAGCTGTGGATGATCAGAGGCTCCATCGATCGTGCGATGGCTGTTCGCTGTTGGCGGTTTCTCGAAACTTCGGGAGAGGTTAAAATCAGCGGGGAACTGTAGCGAAGCAAAGAGGGCGGCTGAAAATAGAGATTGGTGACGCCATTTTTAAAACCAACAATGCTAACATATTATGTTTATTGTAAAAGCGCAAGAAAAACTGTCAATGTTTTTCCCTGTAACAAAACCCAACTGCAAGGCTAACCACTGACCAACACTTGTAACACACAACCACTCACACAAACACACACACACATTGGACATGGCATTGACTGGTGTGCTCGGATTGGGAGCACACTGTGGTATGGTTCAGCTTTACCATTATTATGGTTCTGTGGCCTAGCTGGTGGTACCCCTCACAACTCACATGCATGCACACACGCACACGAAAAAACTGAATCAGAATGAGGTTTATCGCCAAGTGGGGTATTCATTGAGGAACTCTCATTGGTGTTTGGTTCAAACTCAAATCGGCAGCATTTGAAACAATATTTAGATCTCTGTAATGAAATCTATCCCCTTCTTCAAAGAAATATCTATGTGTGAAACTATCAGTCAAATCTCACCAAACACCAGTGCAGACGCTATCCAGAACTCTTTGATATTACAACATTGAAGTGATTAAGGAGGGCGGTCGGAAGGAAGGAGAGATGAAAAAGAGGAGAGGAAATGAAAGGATCTTTATGGGAGCCCCGTCTTCCTGCTGCAGCTGATGGCGGAGAAGTGGAGGAGGGAAACAGGCTCGAAAAGGAACGCTAAACTCTTACCCAGAGAATGCAGTGTTGCATGTGACATGGACACACACATACAGGAGGGATGGAGACAAGTAGACCCTATTAAACTGATCTGCAGTTATTGTAGTAGATTTAACTTCATTCAATCTTTTCCCTGTGTGTAAAAAAATCAACAATGGGCCACAATTAACATGAACACACACACTTTATTTCTGCTCAAACACACACCGTCCTGCGGCCACATACACTCTCTACACTACCAAATGTGGATTAATCCGCCGCTTAAAATAGTCCCCAACACACTGTTTCTGTCTGTTTATATGGAATATGTGCTAATCTACAATAAAAGTGAGTGTCAACATTTTTAGCAGGGGGCGGTGCGGAGATCAAACAGCAGAGCCCATCTGTGTGATGTGAGGCCAGGACGCCACATGGGAGCCACTGTGTGTGTGTGCGTGTGTGTGTGTTTCTGTGTCTGTGTGTGTGTAATAAGGGAGAACATGTATATATAAAAAGGCATGCTATGCTTATTCCCAGGCTTCAAAATAAGTCAGAGATCACAGCTGGACAAATGACCAAAAAGACACACACACACACCGAGTCAACATGCATGGATCCAATTTTTTTTGGGCACCATATCCAAAGGAACCCAAAGATTATCAGAGCCAATCAGAAATGTGGTAAATCTGCAGAAGTGGAACATATTTAGCTCCCGTCATGCTGTAGTTTTGTGTGTGTGAATGTGGGTGTGTGTGGTTTACCAGCATGGTTAACCAATACTCTCTAAATGCAAAACTGGGCACCACACACACTGATCCTCTCTCTCTCTCTCTGGTCATTTGGTTACATGTCTACATTCAAATTGTGCATGGACAAATATTTGTTTAGAACGGTTCCTCTATCATATTACAGTTAATCACAAACTTTGTGTATCAACGTCTGCTTGTGAACAACCCACTAAAATGCACTGTAGATTTACTTCCTGCAAGTTAACCGCGACACCATGTGTGTGTGTGTGTGTGTGTGTGTGTGTGTGTGTGTGTGTGTGTGTGTGTGTGTGTGTGTGTGTGTGAGAGTTGAATGCGAGGCCTTGTCTTTCTAACGGTTGCTCGTTCACACACATCCTCTCTGCTTCCTTCTTCCTTCACTATCTTCTCTGACTGTTACAAAACACACACACACACACACAGACACAGACACAGCCAACAGACATTTTGAAAGAGTGAAACAGCCTCCGTGTGAACATTTCACAAACCCTCTTATTGTGAAAATAAGAAACATGAAATTACATTTTATATGAATGGAATAATATAATTGTACAGATATTTATATGACTATCAATTTCTTCTTATTATCAATTTCTTCTTCTTCTAATTATTATACGTTTTAGTCCTACAGAACATGGGATTTGACAACATTACTTTGGAACTGTTAGTCACTTTTATATCCTAAATAATGAAGAACATAGCTAGTTGCAGCAGTATTGACCCTGGAGCCTGTTAGTGACTGCACCGCTCTTATTTACTGCGCTTTGACACTGATGAATGTCAGAAAGCTCATATATTAGTGTTTGTGAGGTTGTATAAGTGCTCTGTGGCTGCACACTGAGAGTCAGCATCATCTCTTGTAAAATCAGCAGAGGCAGACCTGTGGAGTTTCCTCTGCCTCTCTTTGCCGTCTCCTGATAACGCTGAGCTGCTGTCTCTGTGTGCAGGTGCAGCGTCCAGATAACCAGAATCTGCACAGGCGCACACCACGGGCCAACAATGTGCACAAGTGGAGAGTGGCACGCAACACGATGGGTTCACACGTAACGAGAGGCGTAAATTAAAGAAAAAAGGACTCCGGAGAACAGAAAAACAGCTCCGGAGCAGTTTGATATATGAACAGAGAGAAGGGAACAATGCTAATACAACAAGCGGGTGGACATTTACAAAAACAAGTTGGAGTGGCGGAGCGTTTTCAGCCAAAAATATGAAATTTATGGAGCGGGAAAGGAGGGACGGAGGAAATATGAAGTGTGTCAAATAAATTACATTGATGGAGAAAAGTAAAAATGCAGACTATTGTTGTTATTTTAAAGATTAAAATGTTTTTAATATATATTTTTAAAAGTAACAACAAGCAGTATTTTTATTGTAATATTACCATTTAATTTTTTATTTTTTTATTTATTTAATTGAATTATATTTATTTATTCTGGATTCCGAATTCAGTTTAAATCTCTTCTAATCTACAGATTAGTTGAAGTTCAGTACACAGCTTTGATTCACAACAGATTCAGGCTCAGAGGATTTTCTACACATACAAAAATACAACAAAAATGTTGTTTAATTTTTTTTTTTACAGGTTTGACAGATATTTTTGGCCTATAACAGTGTGTGGATGTTTTATTGTGATCAATTCAGTAACCATTTTTGTACATTTAGAAATATGAAAACTAACAGTAAAGCTGAAAAACTTTAAATTACTGTAGTCAGAGCAGATCATCTCAACGGGGGAACAACTACAGTAACACACACACACACACACACACACACGTATACAAGAAGAGAGATAAAGAGGCAACGTGCATTCAGTAGATTTGTTAGTAGTACGTGTGGAAGTGCAAATTGGAGGAGAGTTGAGTGAGGCCATAGCCACTCAGAAACAACCAATAGGATTGTAGGAGGTGGAAACCAATCAGAGTTGAGAACCACAGAGATTCAGATGGTTTAACCACATGTGATGTTTGACTTGATTTTGTCACTTCTCAGTACAATGCATTTACTTTTTCCCCTAACAAAACCAATGGAAATACTTTACAAACCCAAGCTTTGTTTAAAGCCTCCAGTTGAATATGCTCACACTGAATTCTGTAAATGCATCCACCAACAACTGACAATGCCTGCAGACCTGATTTATTAAAAGTCCTAAATGGATCAATAAAATATTGGCTACAACGTAAAGTGCTCCCTGCTCGACCACCACGAGAACCAGAGTCCAGCACTATCAAAGTCAACCCAACTATAACACAATGCAAACATGACTACCTCACTCTTTGGCACACACAATCTCACACACATAGTAAAGTGCAATGTAATCTGGCCCTAAATAGACAGTATACCTTTCTGTACGTTAGCTAAAAAAAAAAACACTTACCTATAATCAAAGCTGACGACAATGACCCAAAGACACTGTTGGATGCCATGAAAGGATTACTCTTCAGATGTTTTTCAGACTCCACCTTTTTTCATCTGAATAAGAAAAATCACAAATACAAACAGAAAATGAAAGGTCAATAGGAGATCCTCCAACGAGCTGCAGCATCAACATTCATGGCCAATCTCTAAACCGCAAACCACATCTATGTGGGCGTGCAAGTATGTGAAAGGGAACATGTAACCCTCGCTGATCTACACCAGTTACAGGAAGTCTTGCTCACAACAACTCACTGCACTGCAATAGGCAATCTACATGACAAAAATGATTATGTGAACACAGATGCTGAGTTAGTTCTATTCATTTATGGAAGGAGCTCTGTTTAAGGCCTTCTGAGCCTGTAGCAGCAAAACTAAGGGCTGGTCCAAGGTAAGCCTGAGCCAGACCTAACTACCCCCAGCTGGTTAACTGCCTCTTGGAAGTAAACTGGTACTGAACACTAGCGATGTTTAAATTAAATTACAGAGAATGATAACTAACATTTGGCGCTACGGTTAATAAGAACATTTTGAGTTTTGAATAGTAGGGTGTTTAATTGTATGCTAAATCAAACAGACAAGCTTGCAGATAAAAAAAAACATCTGTTGCCAAGTTAATGGATGTTAAACAAACAATATGTAATCTACAGTAACTGCATTTTTTTTTTTTAAACTAAAGAAAAGCGTGCGCAACAAGAAATGATGAGCATGTCTGTTCTGCCTTCCTATGTTTCACGTGCACAGGCATGGAGGTCAGAAGAACGGAGTATCAAGCAAGCACTTTGGGTATATTCTCCTCAAGTGCAGCTATGTTTTAGTTTCGTGCAGAAATGATGACAAAGTGAGGTCGATGGAGCTGTGTTTCCTGCCAAGACGAAACTAAAACTGGAAACGTCTTTCGAGATGTGTAAAAACTCAACATGCATCAGCTCCATCCTGGTCAAATTTGAAGAAGTTTAAAAATGATTTACATAGCAATGAACACAGATGATTTCCCCCTTAATGCTTATTTGTCTTCTAATGTTAAAACCCTGAGATACAAACAGAAAGACTTGAATAGTAGAGAGGCACTCTTACCCCAGCTGAGGTGTCCCGCTCCTGAGAAAGAGGTGGTTGAAAAAGCTCCTTGGTTTTCCCAGTCGTCCACTCAGATGCAGAATAATCCACAAAACTCATTCTGTGTACCTTTCTCTACATGGTGTCTTCTCTGTCCGTGGACGTGTTTGCAGCTCTGCTTCCGCTCTTCCTCTCTGTCACCATCTTCCTCTCTCTCTCTCAGCGTTGAGTATGTGGTTCTCCAGATCCCCTTGTTGATGAGCTTTTTGACATTCAAAGTCGCCGAAGAGTCTTTCTCTTCTATTAATCTGGCATTGTGGCTTTGTTGTGTGCTTGTGTGTGAGTGTGTAATCAAACTAACCACCTGCCCCCCTCAGCCAACAGTCCTCACCGAGGAAGTAGCTGTGGTTAGGGCAAGCGAAACGGAGGGAGAGGGCGTTGTGGTGTGTGTTTGTGAGCGCCCATATGTGCGTTTGTGGTCTGTGTGTTTGTAGCGGGGTTAGACAGAGGGAGTGAGTCACCTTTACTTCACCAAGCCTCACAGCAGGTCAGACTGTCAGACCACTGTGACCACTAGTGTGTGTGTATGTGTGTGTGTAGGAGCATTTTGAAGGTTAGTTAAGGAGAGAAGTGTATCCATTGCTGTTTTATATTGCGTAGAACTGATCACCGCGTTGCTTTTAATACAGGATGCATGTGAGTAACAATACTTAAAGGGGAATTCCACTGACTTGACATGTTGTATAATGTATTCTGTGGCTCCAAGACAGTTGATAAAAAGAAACATCAGAGAGAGCTGCTGTCATATTTATCACTTTAAAATGTACAAGCTATGAGTGCAGACACTTAAAGGAGCCCTGTGAAGACTCCTCTGCACCTTGCTTCTGGTAAAAGGCTGAGCTGCTGGTCAACACCTTCCTATGTAGATAAGCCTGGTTAATTGGACTGTGCCATTAGGCTAAGGTTTAGCCTTTGCAAACAGGGGTATACAGCTTCAGGAGTCTTAAGTCTGAAAGAAAACCTTGTTAAATACATTTTAATTGTAATGTATATGTGTGTGGTCAAACACCTGCTGGTTAACTATATGTAATCAGCCTTTTGAGACACACACACGCACACACAAACACATGCAACTTGACCCTCAAATATACGCCTCCTTACACCCCAACACCTGCACTGACACACTTCTACCCCTCCCTAACCGCAACAAAGCCACCTCACCCAACCCCCTCACACACACACTAACCCTAACCCACACCCATATGGGTTTCTGACACCCATCTGAAGAAGAGCCAATACACTTCCTGTTTAGTGCTAAGCTCAGCTGAAAGCAAAAACACATTATGTTAAATATTTGTTTGTTACTGATGCACAGTGTCTAGAAAAAAGCTTACGTTTCTCAGGACGGAGGGTAGTTGAGGACTGGGTTGGGAATCAGGTCGGTAGATGTCCTACTGTCTGTCCTGGGAGAGCTCAGTGGGAGGCAGCTCACCCGCTGACCCCTGACCCCTCCCAGACACAACATGACCTCCAGCTGCAGCTTCCTGGGTCACACCGGGGTCAGACACCGCTACGGGGGGCAAAATCTGAAGAGAGAGAGAACATAGCATTATTCTCAACAGTTACAGTAACTAACTGTGGATAGAGGGGTGAATCCTAAAACCCGGAAATGAGTCAGCATGTTACCACTTCCTGTCCCAAGTCAACGGTTTTTTGTGTTTCTGTCAGAAGCCTGAAATGTGTATGTGGTTAACACTAGCTTAGGAGATTTTCACGATTTGTTCTATGACATCATTTTATGACGTGTTACAGAAAATAAATCCCTGATGTTGGTCCCCAGAAGAAGCAGTGATGAAACAAAGAGTAGTATCTGCTCTCTCGTCCTACTCTTTTTTCATCCCTTCTCTTCCAGCTCTTTCCCTGACCCTCCTCCCCTTCTACACCCCACGGAGCTCCCACGACATCAAACCCCACCAGGTCAGACCCTGCTTACGTGTGTGTGTGTGTGTGTGTGTGTGTGTGTGTGTGTGTGTGTGTGTACACATCGCTGTGTGTGTGTGTGTGTGTGTGTGTGTGTGTGTGTGTGTGTGTGTGTGTGTGTGGGCACGTCGCTGTGTGTGTTCTTACCAGCTGCTAAAATACAACAGTTCAAGTGGCCTTTGAATCAAACAACAAACAGAAGCAGACACACTGGATGCTGTCCAATGGCTGACTGAATTACCCACAAGGCCTCACATTGAGACACACTGTCCTCTATAATCTTACGCTGTCACTTATTAGTGAATTCAGAAAAATACATCCCTTTTCTTTTATGCAGCCTTTAAAGCCAGAAAGATACATGACTTGTGCTATCCTTAGCCCTAAGATGAAATGCAAATCATATACAACTATTTCACTCTCCTTTTAAAAATCAAAAATCAAACAGGGGCTTTACCATTAAAGTACATCTAATGACATCCACATGGGGACCTTCTTTCCCTCGCCAACACCTCGGAATTATTTTTTCTGACATTATATTTGTACGAAGTCAGTGATACTCATCATCATCAGAGACAATGTGATGAATGCTTCAGACATCCCATGGACTCAAAGGGAGTCGAGGAGGAATTCTGGGAAAAAAGTTCAAACGGAGATGTTCCTGGTAGTCCGTCTGTCTGAGCAGTGTGAGAAAATACTGAAGCACAGTTAGTCACCCTCCTACACACACACCAAAACACACCGACCCACACACACAACAGCTGTCCACTTGTATCACTAAGGTGAACTTTGACAGTTTGAACTCAGGCACCAAAACTTAATGTCTTGGTTTATTCCAATAGAGGAAATTGTAATATTTAATGACTATGGTGGTCTATATTAAATGTGAACCATCATATTAAATCCAGATTTGAGAAACAGAAGTACTATACTCACACAATGCTTTTTTTCCATTGAGCTCTGATGATGTCATGTGAGAGGGTAGCATTTAGCATTGTGTGCGTGTGTGTGTGTGTGTGTGTGTGTGTGTGTGTGTGTGTGTGTGTGTGTGTGTGTGTGTGTGTGTGTGTGTGTGTGTGTGTGTGTGTGTGTCAGTCTAACAGATGTCAATGATGATGCATCGTCTGAGCAACACTGCCCATAAAGGACCAGTAAGACCTCTTATGACCACTCATGGGACATATACAACATGTGTGAGTGTGTGTGTGTGTGTGTGTGTGTGTGTGTGTGTCTCACAGAGAGATGTGAAGGAGATTCCATCGCCTCCATTTTGATGATTCAGCAGGAGTAGCCGGATTCTTCCAGTAAAATACCTCCTCCTGAACACACACCAGGATGATGCAAGTGAAGCAGTGTTTCCATCAGACACACCTGGTGGTGTGCAGGACAGCTGCACATGAACATAGAGAATGTGGACATAAAGCTATCGGAGTATTTGATGTACATGATGATCAATAGCAAAGCTCTGTGATGGTTTAATAAAAGCTTTCTGGATGATGTCATGTTTTCCTTTAAATGGACACACACACACACACACACACACACACACACACACACACACACACACACACACACACACACCACACACACACACACACACACCCACACACACACACACACACACACACACACACACACACACACACACACACACACACACACACACACACACACACACACACACACACACACACACACACACACACACACACACACACAGCCATCTAAGGCTAATGAGAGGGTGAGTGTGTGAGCATCTCTCTCTCTCTCTCCCCCTCTCTCTCTGTCAGTGTACACATCGGGGGTTGGCAAACAGAGCATGGTAAATGTGATAATTGGTCCCATGTGGATTTCAGGAGTGCATTTCTGTGTGTGTGTTAAAGGTTTAGTTTGTTTGTTTGTTTATTTGGTAATTTTTTGTTTTTTTTCTGCCATAGCACTTTTGAGTAAAGTTTTAGTCCGCAAAGTTCACCTTAACTCAGTTAAAAGTGAGGAAGCAGAGTACAGGAAGGACAGGAGAAGAGAAAACACAGACCATTTGGTTTAATAAAACGTTATTCGAGGGGGAATATAAACAGGATAGCAAGATTTCTCCCATACAGTATATGAAATACAAATAAATGCAGTGTCCATGTTCAAATGTCTCCATTCTGTGCTAATGATAATACAGGCAGCTCCATCCTCTTGTGAAAGTAGACCCTGAAAGTTGCCTGTTGGGCTAACCAAATAGGACATTTCCTCTTTACATCCTCTGGCTAATCAACAGCCCCCCGAGGAACCAGGAGCATGATGGGTATACAGCTCTGAGAGGGGCGGGCACATGTGGCCCTCCTGCAGTAACGAGGACTAACGCTGCTGACGACTGGCTGACGACTGGCTGACGACTGCTCTACGTTATGTTTTTGACATTTATGACATTATTACCAACTGTAAAGGCTATGCTTTAATGACACACTGTGTGTGTGTGTGTGTGTGTGTGTGTGTGTGTGTGTGTGTGTGTGTGTGTGTGTGTGTGTGTGTGTGTGTGTGTGTGTGTGTGTGTGTGTGTGTGTGTGTGTGTAAAGGCTTACGATGTAACGACCAGGTTTATGACGACTGTGTGTGTTTGTGTTTATGACATAATGAGTGAATTTAAAAGCAACACATGGATGCCACACTTACTGTATAATGTGGTTGTTAATGCCTACAGTAACCACATTACCACTTCGTGTGTGTGTGTGTGTGTGTGTGTGTGTGTGTGTGTGTGTGTGTGTGTGTTTGTCTATGTGATGGCTTTAATGACATTACGACATCCCAAATGAGCTAACAGTATTACGAGCAGATTACTTGACGTGGAATATTCAAAGTGTGTGATACCATGGCTCTAATGGACTAATGGCACACACACCACACACACACACACACACACACACACACACACACACACACACACACACACACACACACACACACACACACACCACACACACACACACACACACACACACACACACACACACACACACACACACACACACACACACACACACACACACACACACACACACACACACACACACACTCTCAAAAGAGTAACAGAAAAAACTGATATAATAAAGGGAATGCTGTCCATCCTAACACAACAAAGTATATATGTCACTCTGTGTTGGTATTAATATTGCCCCTGCTTCTTTACTGTTCTATTAAATAGAGGAACAACTTAAATGCATACATCTTTATATGCATTTAGAATCAGCACTATGTAAGCCATCAAGGAGGGCAGCTGACACTTCCATACAAGTTAATAGAAATAAAGGATTAAAAGGGAATAAACCTTTGATCGCACTCCATGCACAGGACACACACACAGACTCTGCATTTAACCCTTCCTACATGCATAGGTTTCATTGGTCATAAAGTCAGATGTACAGTAGGGCTTGTAAATGGGTTGAAATCAAGAGACACTTCATTCTCAGTCATCTAACGTGTAGCATGAGACTTTTGGTTGAGTTTTGTATGACTTTTCCAAGGTTTTTTTCAAACATTCACCACCCTGTGCAGCACTCACATTCATACAGGTCAACAAACTGTTAGTAAGCTAGCTCCGGTCAAAAGCACTGGCCCAAGTACATCACATTTTGTATTTATAAGCTAATGGTTTTATGAGAAGGGTTAGTCTGTTTGTCCAACATGTTGCTTGTTGGCACCTGGTCACCCTAATTAGCCCCCAAAGTGATGTCATATATAGAAATGATCATCCACGCTACAACAGTCCGTCAAACAATGGGACACACACCGGCAGTGTTTGTGTGATGCTTTGGTTTGCTGTGTGTTTGAGGGGACACACCTCCTGCATCTGTCCACTCTCTCCTCATGTCTCCCTGCTTCTTTACATCAAAGCTATCAATGACGCTGCAGCTAATTACCAAGCAAACACACACATACACACACGCGCAGCAACCTGATCAGTGGCGCGTTAATAGCAGACTTGTTCTGACACAAGACCGCCACGCTACCTTGAACACCATAATTATCACCAACACATGCACACACACACGCTCTTATACAGTGTGTAATTACAGGTAAGAGGAGCTAAGGAGTGCAGCAGGTGGCCGCTATATCAGATTGTCAAATGATTGGACATTTAAACACAATTCAGGGACACAGGAGGTAAACGGATTTCCTACATCTACAAATGTGATTTAATTGTATTTTTCTTATAATGTTATTTTCT